ATAACCACCTCTGTGCCCAGCCCCTCGCCTCGCCAGGCTGCAGCCTTCCCCAGCCCCAGCCCCAGCCCCTGCCCTGGGCCGTGCCTCTGGCTCAGCCGCAGCCGGCCCCAGGCAGGGCACATCACCTTCCTGCAGGGCCCTGCAGCCTCACAGCGCGCTCCCCCTCCACACGGCCCAGGTGGCCGCTGTCCGACCTGTGCATCCGCTCCAGGATGCGGTGTGGAGCCTCCCTGCAGCTCCAGCACCGGGGTTTTCCAGCTCTTCTCAGCTGCCTCTTTACAGATCTGCCCACACACAGCTTCCCCCCCAGCTCACAAGAAGGAAGTAGAAACACTTTTCTCCAGTGGTGACCACTGAGCGAATTAAAAACCCCAAGGACCTTAGGCTTAGGCTCAACTCCTGAGCCCCAGACATTGGCTGGGACCAGTTTGACTCTGGCCTCTGCCACCAGACCTTGATGTCCCTCTGTGTGCCAAGCAGCCCCGAGCCAGGTCTGTAAAGGGGACTTTCCACTGGAGAGCCCAGAATTTGGCAGGAAAACACTGATAAATGTTAAATAAATAAATAATTATCAAAACAAACCAGTGGTTGTCCCTGCCCTGTGCCACCACCACCCTGAGGACGCAATGCAATCTGGAGACCTGTTTATAACCCAGCATTTATGCCTCCAGCTGTGACTGCTTGGCCACTGCTGTAGCAGGACAGGGCTCTCACGTCATCCACAGACAACTTTGCTGGCAACATGGCTGTAACAGTGAAATGGGTGCTTGGCTGCTTTACCAGGGCACCCCCGCTCCAGAGCTGAGCTTGGTGGGAGGAAAACAAGGTAGGGAAGTATCAGGCTTAAAGCAGAGTGGCTGGAGAGGTGGAGGAAGAGCCATGGGATACCTGCTCCAGGACGAGATCCTTCTTAGGGGGAGCTGGCTCTGTCACCGCCAGGTGGCTCAGAAATCTCAGCATCTCCACCAGGTTGGGCAGCTGGTCAATGAGGACATCCGACAGAAATGCACGAAGCTGGAGCCATGGAGGGGAAGAGAAGAGCAAATGGAGACAGGTCAAGACAAGGGACCCAGAGCTGGGGAAGTGGCACGGCAAGAGCAGGGATCTGCGGGGCACTGGCAGAGCGACCCATGGGGGTCCCACGAGGTGCAGTCGCAAACACAAGCTTTGCTGCTGCTGGCACAGGGACAGACCCCACTTCTCTCCCATCACCGGCTCCTAGGAGCCCACAGGGAGGGTGGGGAGAGGTGCCTGGAGGTGCCTAGTGCTGGCAAGGTCCTACCCTGTGCTGCAGGGCCCATGGCCGTTGTGGGGCTGGGTCCTACCTTGAGGAGCTGGCTCTTGTTGAAGCCATCAAAGTGATATTTGCGCTGGCATTCGGGTCTGAGCAGGAGGTTGAGAAGGGCAAGCCACACCTGCCCATCAAGCTTGGTCATCTTCACCTGGTCTTCAGGGGGCACCACGTGCCATGTGCCATTCTCAAACTTCTTGAGCTTGCCTGAGGGACAGAAGCACACGCAGCTCCAGGGAGAGACAGTGGTGCCCCAGGGAAGACAGCTTAGAGAGGGGATGCTGCCCAATACTCGCTTCCTCACTCCACCACAGGCAAGCCCCTTTGCTTCTGCCTGCCTCAGTTTCCCCACCACTTTGGTCAGCATAGCAGCCTTCTTGGTATTGAGACAATACATTAGAGAGCACAGAAAGCATAAAGAACATCCCTTAAAACAACAGGGCTGTGGCAGGAACCAAAAGATTTCTGAGCTATCTTCCTCTGTGCTTGACCAGGATCACAGAGCACTGGGAAATGGTGGGGAAGCCCACGCTGCAGCAAGAGAGTGGCTGGAGAGGCATGGTTTGGGGCATCAGCATGGCCAATACCTGCTCTTCTGGAGGTTCTCCTGCCAGTGAAAGCCAGAAGTAGCACGAATAAAACAGAAATGACATGAATATAACAGAAGTGACAAAACAAGCTCCAGGAGCTACTGTGCTGCTCTGGGGGGTGGAAGGGGATGTAACCCTGCAGCTGCACAGCCTGGAAATGCCTTCGCACTCTTGCTTCTTTCCAGTCTCCCCCTCAGGGCCCTGGATCAAAGCTCCCTCTAACACCCCGAGTGCACAGACAGAGAGAAGGGATGCATTTCCTGGCCGGAGGAAGGAGGAAAGCTTTCACATCCAGCTGAGCTGCTCTCGGCAGGCGCAGAGCCACGGGCTTCCCAGCATCACTTCCTGCCCTGCCTGGTGCTGGGCTGGGGAGGGGAGTCAGGGTTCCCACGCCCCAGGCTGTGCCCCACCGCTGCTCAGGGGCAGGCGGTGGGGAAGCTGGGAGGCTGTAGGGGGCACAGCAAGCTGCAGAGGTGCGGGAGGCAGGGCTGGCGGCGCAGGTGACGGCCGATGGGCACAACCTGATCAGAGCAAAAAGCCTTTGGCAAGAACAAAGCTCAGCGACCTGCGGCTTCGGCTGCCTGTCTCCAGCTTCTCTGGTCTTTCTCTGTCCAGGGCAAGACTCCTTGGAGGAGCAGGTGGGGCTGACAAACGTGCTACGCTCCTGTCCTGGCCATGATCAGCTCAGAAGAGACACAGCCCTGTGCGAAGATCGGCTTTTCGGAGCAGTGCCGTGTCCCCAGCCCAGCTGCGCTGCAGCTGCTTTCAGGCTGAACAGCTTCAGGCAGGGAGCACGAGTGAGGGGCCGGAGGGGAGGGTAGAGGGGGAGCAGCTTCCTGCCGTAGGGCTGTCAGAAGATGCAGGTCCCACCACGGCGCCCCAAGATCTGTACCTGCTTCACAGCAGCTCCAGGGACAGTGCTCCACCAGCTCGACAAGGAGGCAGGGCAGGTTGTGGGTGTTCAGCATCCGTGTCAGCGCACTCAGGGGCAGACTGGGGATGTGACAGAAAGGGTGAAATGGCGTTTGCAGACAAATGCCAGAACAGATACAAATGCTCCCTGAGGCAACTGGGAGAGGCAGGAAAAAAACCCCAGTGATCAGGATTCCTGTGAGTACCACAGAGCAGGGCACAGTGCTGCTGCGTTTGGCCCCTGGGGCACAGTGCCACTGCCCCCACGGACACAGCCAGCTGCTGAAAGGGGTCCAGGCACCCCCTGCAGCCTCACAGGAATCTCGGCTGGAGAGGCCGGCACACGTCCTCTGCTGCTCCTGGGCACCTACCTCTCCACCTGATCGGTGATGAACCGCAGCACGGACAGGGCTTTCAGGGAAATCTCAAACTCCATCGCCTCTGCCTGCTTCTGCAGCTCCTGTGGAGGGACAAGCACAGCCTCGGGATTTCAGGCCCCGTTTCCCAGGAGCTGCAGAGAGGCAGCACATTGGTAACCACAGGCCAGGGAGGAAATCAGAGCCCCGCAAAACAAACTCTGCTTCCCATCTCAACTGTGCCAGCGCTGCCTGTTGGCCAGGGCAGCCACAGAAGTGCTTGCAGCCCCCTGTTGCTCATCTCCCTCCCTGTAACGAATCACAAGTGGCTACAAGCAGCAGCGCCCCTGCACAGGGACACCCCCTGAAGGAGGCCAGTCCCAGCCTGCGGCTCTCTCCCCTGCTGGGATCATCTTGTGGCCCCCAAGACACGCGAGGCTGAGGGAGGGGAGAGCTGCAGGATCAGCAGAGGAACCGGAGGAGGAGGAAGAAGCTTGGCCCTCGCACAGCTGCAGCCCTACATCCTGGATCTGCTGCTCCGCTCCAGCCTGCACATCTTATCTACAGCATCTGCCTGCGGTTATCCCAGCCCGCAGCTACACGACCTTCTCCAGCCACTGGCCCCCTTCCCTGCTCCCCCACTGTGCACTCAGGCTAACCGCCCAACCACCCTCTGACCCAGCGCCTTTCTAGGCTATTGGGATGGCAGGGCTGAGACGTGCTCAGTCCTCCTCCCTGCCCCAGGCACAGCTTCTCCTCTCCAGTCCCAGTTGCTCGGCAGCTCGCATCTTTGTGTGCAGAGCACTGACCTCAGCAACTCCTATTCCTCTAAAGCGCTGCTGCAACTCTTCCCTTCCAAATTCCTGTGGTGAGAAACCCTGCGCTCCCCATGCTGGTGCCCCACATGCTGCTGAGAAAGCCTTTTGGGCTCTTCCCTCCCACCTCCCTCTCCAAACTCCTCCAGTGAGGCTGTTTCCTACATCTCCTGCTGGTATCCAGACCTCATCTCTGCTACCTTCAGGCAGGGGCTATCTTTTGCCTGTGCCTCTGGGGGACAGCAGAATGAGGGGTTACCACCGTACGCAGTCACAAAGGACAACAGGCTCCACAACACAGAAGAGGGCAGGAACAGCTTTTTTTGTAGGGGGTTATTGTATTATTGTATGTAGAGTCAGGAGGGGCTGGAATGAGTCAGAGGAAACCAGGCTACTTGTGAGACAAGCGCTTTTTAGAACACTGTTGGCTAGAAAAGGTTCATTTTTTAACTTAAGCCACGTCGAAGCACTAACAGAGACACCCCCTTCCCCTCCCCAGCTGGGAAAACATTTCCTGGAAAACATCCCCATTGTGCTCTGGAGCCTCCACTTCCTTCCCTTTTCTGGAAGGGGAGCATGTGCTTGGGCAAAAAGCCAGAGGATGGAAGCACACAGGGAAGTACGGCCAAGCTTGTAGGTTATCACTTAAACCCCGCTTCTCCAGACACTCCTTGTGCTGCGCACCGTTTGAGGAGAAGACTCAGGGTGCTGAGAAGCACCAGAAGCAAAGAGAGCACCCACACTGGGAAGGTGTACGTGGTAGTCTGGGAACACCTGGCTGGGAACAGCTCTGGGCTCGCTGCTGGCCCAGACCAGCACAGAGAGGAGGTATTTCTCAGAGAGCCGAGGAAGCTGGAGGAAAACACAGCGTGACAACTTCTAGTTGTACCATACATCGATTTAGGGAGGGATCCCTGTCACGGTTATCCTTGTCTTGCTCCAGCAGCAGCCTGAGCCAAGGTGGTTTCACAGGCTCTGGGGACACCGACCCACACAGCTTTTCAGAGTGACAGCAAATAGCCAAAACACTGTCCCGAATATTTTGCATAAATCTCCAGCATGCCCCCACTCAGACCGCGTCCTGCAGGAAGCCTCGGGCTGGCACTGTCACAAGAGGGAGGAAGCGCGGCTGCAGGGTGGAGGAAGGTGGGTGCAGGCACCAGCCCAGCCAAGCTGCTGCTGTGGGCGAGCACCAGCACTAGATGCCCTCCGAGACGGGTGGCAGGTGCTGGGGTTGTGGCCAAGGGGTTCTCCACAGGCAGACCCCTCTGTGCCTCTTCAGGCCGCCCACCTACTCCATCACACATGTCCCCAGTGAGCGACAGGACGTTCTCCTCACCTGTATGGACGAGGGGCTGGCCAGATTCTCAGGACGAAGCTCTGTCGGGGTCACTGTCTGTCCATTGGCGCCCCGAGCTGCAAGCAGGGTCAGTTTTCGGTGGCAATAATCAATTAAATCGAGAATGCTGTCCTCAGCTGACTCACAGATCTCCTTCACAATGACAAGCATTTCACAGAGGGTCAGCCCCCATGGCAGTGGCTTTCCACCCCCAGGGGCTTCACACTGAAGAAAGCTGAGCCTGTCTCTTACCTTGTGAAAAAACACTGTCTCCAAGAGGTTAATGATGGAGGCTTCATGATGCAGCTGTGGGAGGAAAACGGCAAGAATGAGGTAACAGCAGAGTGGTCACCACTACCAAGGGCATGGGCAATGGGACTGGGAAAAAGGCTCTTCCAAGAAGCTGCTTCTGTAGCCAAACGCAATCCAAGTGCCAAATACAAGTGATGCAGTCTTTAAAACAATTCAAGCTCATATTAATATTTAAGTTAAAATGCCTATGATGCTGGAAAATGCTGATAGCAGGCAGGGCAGTGTCTACAGTGGCAGTGCAACCATAGCCCCGGGGCAAGCTGCAGCCCCTGGCACCAGCACAGAGTCACAGCCTGGAACAGGACAGTGCTCTGCATGGCTGTGCTGCTCTGAGTCTGGGCAGACAGTGCTGTCCTCATGAGATAGCTGCCTCCAGGCAATGCTGCAAACGCTGCCCAGGGAAGACACCGTATTTCCCCACCCATGTCCGATCCTGGACTGAAAATGGGCTAAGACTTCCAAGCCTCAGGCAGATTCCCTTAGGTCGAGGGCTGCGTGTCTCCAGAGGGAAGCTGAGCTCCTGAGATCATTCCTTTGCCAAGAATGGCTCAAGAAACTCTGTTCCCAGGAGCTTGGTAGGAAAAAAGCTATGTGGTTTTTTTTTTAACCCGGAGGCGTGTAACTTCTGAGAGCCCTCTGGTTAGAGGGGCCAGAGAAAAACAGTGCTTAAAGAGGGGCAGACACCCCAGGGGTGTTGCTGCATGAGAGTCAGGTTAGCACCGAGTCGCTAGGAGCTGGAAGTCAGGAGCACAGCCACCTCCAGGAGCAGCTTCTGCTGCATCCAGCAGCTCCAGCAAGCCCCTGGGATTAGGCAGGGGCACAGCTCCCCACAGGGCTGAGACTGCCTGGGAACGGGTCCCTGTCCCTCCTGGAGGCAAGGACAGGGGCTTGTCACTCACAGCTTTGGGAAACCAGGTGCTTCCCACTGTGCCTTATTGTTCACTGCAGCTTCTCAGCCTGGTAAGATGTAAAATCCCAGCTCTGAGGTCTTCAGGGTGAGATTTATTTTTAAACATAGCAGTTCCTGTCAAATTTCCAGGCTCGTTCCCACTTCTCCCTTTACTCACCACCACATAGATGGGGAAGGTGCTCCTTGGTTTGAAGTCCTCCAGCTGGCACAGCACAGGAAAGATTTTGTGCTTCCAGATCTCCACAGAGATCAGCTCCCCAATGAGAACAGGAATCTAGACAGGGAATGGATGGGGGAGTGAAGCCATTCAGACCAGCGCAGAAGTAGGAACCAGTTTTATTGCTAATGCTCAGCCACAGACTTCGGAAACATCCCACGGAGGAGGGTGGCCCCGGGTCACGTTGTCACCCAGCTCAGAAATCAACAGCTTTTCACCAACAGACCAGAGGACAGAGAGAGCTCCTGGGGTTGCAAAGGGGAAAGAGGTTCCCAAGGAGCTGGGAAGGTCCAGGGCGCTGCCCGTCCCAGTGCAGCCTGGCATATTCTGGGGCTGGGACACCTCAGGTACAGGGCAAGCAGAGGGGCTGGTGCATGAAGGAGACCAAAGCAACCCCCAGAGAGGAACCACGAATCGGAGATAGCACAGATTGACCTTTAATTTTTTAACATCCAACGCTGGCAAACCACCAAAGGTCTTTGCCAGAGATACAGCAGATTCTTTACCATTTTATTCCAAAATTGCACATAGTCCCCATGTTAACCCAGCTCAAAGCTGAATACCTGGCGCAGGGATCCCTCCACACACACAAGGAGGCTCACCTTGGCATAGCTGACCAGCAGCTCGGTGAGCAGCTGCTCCTGGCCCACTGAGGCGCACAGGATGGCGTGCATGTTCAGCTTCTCCACACACTCGTGCTGCCGAAGCCATCTGCGGGGCAGCCAGCAAAGGTGTCAGCGCCAGAGACCTCCAGCCACCGGCTTTAGGGCCCTGCTGCGCTCCTGGAGATGATCCCTCGTGGAGGTGAACCTGCTTCCAGCACCCCTATCCCCAGGAAATGCCCCAAGCCTGCCAGGCATGCCCAAGCCCCACGCTGTCCCCTGAGCCTGCGCTCCCTGGGACAGCAGCTCCACCTGTGGCAAACCTACAGCCCTCCTGCCTGTCCCCAGAGACACCCTACTGGGGACACCCCAAAACTGGGAGTCCTCCTTCTCGTCACCCCTACCCACACAGACCTTCTAGGGAC